AAATTTTTAAGTTAGTATTTATGACATTTTAGGCTGGTTGTAGCTATTCTATTTTTGTTTATAAATTCAATTTTTTTTCTTAAGAAACTTCATCTAAATTTTTCAGAGAAACATTTATTAGAATAAGGCATTTTTTTATTAATATTTTTTGTATTTATTATGTAAGCAGTAGTTTTATATAAAAAACTAATTTTATTTGGTGAGTTAACAAAAAATTTTTTATTTCTAGTTCAACTTTGTAAGACATTTTGTATTTTTTAGAAGCTCTTGATAAAAATTGTAATCACAATTGAAAGCTCGAGTAAAAAATAGTCAACAAATAGCCCCTTTTATTGACTCCAACCCATCAAAAACAGTGTTATATTTTTTCCAAACGAGTCACAAGTACTTCTTTTTTCTTACTCTTATATATATTTATATATATATATATATATATATATATATATATATATATATATTATATATATAAATATATATATATATATCCCAGTTTGCTTTTTTAATATTCCATTTTCTACAAGATAGTAATTTATTAACTTTGGGTGCCATATATATTTGTGTAATGCATGGTAGATGATCAGACCCATAAAGATCTTTTATTGTGTGCCAATATAGTAAATGTTTTATACAAGGAGAACAAATTGTCAGATCGATAGCAGAATGAGATTGCAAATAATTTCCTATGAATGTAGGTGATCCATCGTTGAGATATACAAGATTATTTCGGTCAAGAGCTTTCATAAGTGTTATGCCATAGTGGTCTGTGTTTGGCCCACCCCAGGCAATATTATGTGAATTAAAATCTCCCGTAAAAATTACAGGTGGATTAAATGAACTAAAGAATTGATCCCAAATATGCAACGAAATTTTAGTTTTTGGTGGAACGTAAAGCGATACAATGGTAATATTTTTTTTATCATTACATTTTAAAAGAATGGATGATTGATTACAATTAGGTAGTAAAACAGATATAGGTAATTCTGTATACAAAAGTTTTGATTTAATAAGGATGGCCGTTCCCCCGCCACTGCGGTCTAAACGGTCATCCCTCACAATGTTGTAACCTGGAAGATTAAAATATTTATTGGATGTAAATCTAGTTTCTGACAAGCAAGCTATATCGATGTTAAGATCATTTAACAAATATTGTAAATTTTCTTTATTTGAATTTGCCGATTTAAGGTTCCATTGACATAGAGTTATATGATCCATGTTCAAAAAGGTTATTTAAACTAGTTTTAATAATATTTGTAATTTCGTTTTCTTGTATGTCTAATTTATTTGTGTTCTTTATTGTATTTATGGTTGATAAAACTATCCGAAAAATGACATTTGCAATTTCATTATTTTCGGTTTCTCTTATGACATTTTCTGATTTATTTTCATTTTGAATATTGGACTGATATTGTTCTGAACTCAAAATTCCCCCTTTCTTAAAAGGAAGATTAACTGAACTAATAATGGATTGATGCTCTAACAATGTAGGATCGGGAGATAAAGGATAAGATCTTTTACTTTTTTTTGTTAAGTTATTTAATTGGGCTTGATAGTATGACTGGGAGTTCGATCTTTGAGAAATGGATCACGTATTGGATTGGTGTGATATATGTGAAAAGGGCTTGGACGATGTTGAAGCTACATGAACATTAACTGACTCTAATGAAGAATTTTGTTGTAAATTAGAATTAACTATTTTATTATCAACTGCTTTTGAAGGTAAATGTTTAGATACAATATCTGCATAACTTTTTTTTGGAATACTACTACTAGCATCCTTGAAGGAACAATTTGTTTGTGACATCATTTGTTTAATTTGTTCTTGTCTGTTGTACTCCGGGCATACATTAAAATCATTAGTAAAATGGTTTCCATTACAAGAAAAACACTTTACTGTAAATTCGTCTGATGAGCAGGTAACTGTGTCATGACTCTGACAGCATTTAAGACATCTTATTTTGCTTCGACATTGTTTACTAATATGTCCATAGCGGTAACAATTATTACACATTACAACTCTTTGTTTATAAACTTCTACCTCGTAAAGAACTTTATTAATTTCTATATACTTAGGTAAAGTTTGACTTTTAAAGGAAACCAAAATAGTACTTGTAGGTATTAATTCTGTTTCGTTATTTGAGTTTTTTACTTTTCTGTTCATTCTTTTAACAAATTCCACTTCAAATTTACAATGAAAATCATAGGCCCTAATTTTATTTTTTAAATATTCAACTGGTAAATCTTTATCAATGAATCTAATAATTCCTAATCGAAATATTAAAAATTTGGGAATATATGCAGACAAGTTTTTATTTTCTAAAATGTGAGATTTTAACAATATATTAGCGCTCAAATAATCCTTACAAAAAACCCGAATTCGATTTCTCCCTATCGATTGAATTTGTTTTATTTTTTTATCTAATTCCGGATGTGAAGTTAAAATTATTTCTCCAATTTTTATTGCGTTTAATTGGCCTGTATAATTATCCATATTATTTTCAATGTAAATCTGAAACGGGCCTATATCAGTAGACTGATAAAGAAATGTTGTTATTACTTTTTTGTTCGATTCATTATTATTATTGTGAATGGAAAAACTTGATTCTGGATTAGAACTAGCCTCAACTATCTTATCCTTTAATACAATTTGTTTTTTATTTTTTTTTATCTTTAATATTCCGATTCAATGCAGAAGAATCTATAATTAAATTTAAATGATTTGAACCACTTATCTGATTATTTCCTAGATCTAAGTTTTCTGGAGGATCCGGGAGAGGAGGGGGTTTCCCCCCATCATCCACTTCCATATGAATGCACTAAGCTTTCACAACACCCTTATAACCACAATTATAACTAATTTTCAAATAATTACTATTGTCTTCTAAAACGATTGATTGTACTAAACTTCTAATATACACGTGTAAGCACGACAACTGTTCACGCACGAATGATTTGATAACACTTGAAACATCACTAGCTATCACGTATTTCACAATAATAGACTCAGCTGAGTTGACGGCTTCACGTGCAAACTTATCTGCTTCTTCATTACCTCTAATACCAAATAAATTTATTTAATGATTGGTTTGTGAGCAGTCACTGTCTGTATCGGATACTAGGTCGTGTGGGATTTGCATCTGTAAGTGTTTTAGAAGAATTTTTCTTAATTTGGTATTTCGTGTCTTTGTAGATCTGTCTTGAGTATAGGGATATATTTTGCTTAACATATCGATGAGAGCTGTAAAGTTGTTTGTATAATTTTCAACGGTAGTAAGTGGATCGGGTGAATTCTTTATGTTGTCGAATAGGTCTTTTATCTGAACATAGCTTAAAATAAATGGTGGTGACTGCTGGTTTATGAATGCTTCTAGAGATTTACCTTTATTTTGTTTTTTCTTAGGATTAAATGGTATTTCTGCTGGACTGGTAAACTTCGGTTTATTAGTGGTATCATTGGGAGGCGGAGAAGGACTTAAGGTATCGTCAATAGTTCTTTTTGAACTGTTCTGTGAAGATTCAATTTTCATATGTAAGGTAGTTGTTTCGCTCGCAGTTTGTTTTATATTTAGTTGATTTTCTGTAGTTGGGGTGTCTGTTTGACTTGAAGTAGATGTCGGTGTGATGGTTGATATTTCTGGAGGGCTACATGTTGAGATTTCTTCTGCTGTGGTTGGAGAAGTAGGATTTGGATTTGGATTGATAGGGTTTTTGCAGTTAGTTGCCGTATGCCCATTTTGTTTACAGTTGTAACACGTTAGGTTGCCGCTTGATAAAAAGATTCTATATGAAGTATTATCGTAATTAATTAAAAACGATTCTGGAATTGTGAGATCTGTTGGGCTGATAAAGATTTGTCTTCTAAAGCTCATTATATGACTAAATTCGGGTAACGGTGCACCAATTTTTAAAAAGGACATTGTAGATAGAATAACAAGCCCCATGGATTCAAGTTCTTTAATTAATACATCATGAGGAATGGATGGGCAAACATTAGAGAGAATGATTCTTTCGGAGGGAGTTATATACCGTCGAGCTTGTATAATCTGGTTATTAACTTCAATGTTGCCGTTATTTTCATTCATGAATTTTTCTACGATATTTTCAGATGATAAATATAAACATATTCTACTGTTTGATAATCTAGAGCAGAATAGTATATTTTTTGGATGGATGATTTCTCCCAGGGGGAGGAGGTAATCTTGTATTTTCGCATCTTCAATGGAATTAAAAATGATAGCTTGCCGTTTTGACGGAAATTTTTGTTGTGTTAGTGCGGTAGAGTAACTTCTTTGTGTAGAATTATCCATTTGAGAATTGCCTGGTAAATTTATTTCATTGATTTGCGACATATTCGTTGATGTTTAAACATTCCTAAAGACGGACCTGTCCGCCGCCAGAAAAAAACCGGCCGGAGATACAGGTCAATGGTAATTAAATGTTTTTGTTTATCGTCAAGCAAATATGGATATGAAAATTTTCAATGATGTTAAATACGTACTAATTATATATTTTCGGTGAAATTTACAGTAAAACTGTACTTACAGACTAGCAAAAGTGAGTTCAGTTGATCACTAATATATTTCCATTTTTCTTAATAAAAATGTAAATGTTTCGGAAATTTTTAACTTAAGATTTATAAAACCTTATACAAACTCTTCATATGTTTAAAAAATATATTCAAAAATGGTTTAATATACAGGGTCTTCCTAAAAAGACACAACTTTGGTCAATTCTGTGATTCTAACTGACCGTGTATAATCAACAATAGTTTTTTTAAATTATAGACGTTTCAGTTTTGTTTGAAAAAAAAAATTTTTATACACTCTAAAGTTTAGCCGTAATTATAGAAAGCCTGTATGTTATTCATTTGAAAGTTAAAAAGTAAGTATAAAGAAATTTATTACAAAGATGAAAAAATATTGCACCACAACCCACTTACAATGATTAAAATATTGTTAAGACACTTTAAACTAAATGAGTTGATAATAAAAAAAAAAACTTACCATTCGTCATCTTTATGAGCCACAAAAAATTCATTAAGCTGTTGACGTTGAAATTCCAGTTTATAATCATTGTACTTTTCTATAGCCTCGCTATCAGAAATATTATCATCTTGAGTAGCTAGAAAAGCCTTAAAAGACATCATAGGTGGTTGTTGACCTTCCGTATGAGCACTCATCGTTTCTCTGTAATGAGATTATGATATATCCTTTTTTTACAGAATTAAATTATACAGAATATGTATAAATATATATATATATATATATATAAATATATATATATATAGTAAACTCTTAAATATTGGGGAAATATGCAAGAAAGACTCTAATGAGTATCGAGTATCAATATATATATATATATATATATATATATATATATATATATATATATATATATATATATATATTAAACTAGCTAGAAAAGCCTTAAAAGACATCATAGGTGATTGTTGACCTTCCGTATGAGCACTCATCGTTTCTCTGTAATGAGATTATGATATATCCTTTTTTACAGAATTAAATTATACAGAATATGTACATATATATATATATATATATATATATATATATATATATATATATATATATATATATATATTAAACTTAAATATTGGGGAAACCTGTAAGAAAGACTCTAATGAGTATCAATTGTTTCGCCAAAAGTTTTCGCCAAAGATAATTAATTAATTTGGCTTCTTGAAAGAGAATAAATTATAATTAGCTACCGTATACTATCTATTAAAAAACACTGTTGATTTTATCGTAACTTAGAATTGTAGAGTTAGAATGTTAAAAAACTTAGCTAGTAACAACATAGTGGTGTTTTTGTTACTATGTGAAAAAAAAGTTTTTTTTTTATCGTTGGAATTGTATTGTAACTTAAAACGCAAAGGTTTACCCAAGGTTAATCGAAAAACCCAATGTAACTACATTTAAAAGGAAGTAATTCTTTGAATTGTCGGCAATAACTAAATTTTTGATTGTTTGAAAGTTTAAATGTGAGGTTCTGTTTTATCAGAACGCATGTGCTGATAATTCAAGTAGTGCCTTTGAATCTTTATGTCGTTAAGGTTCATTGGTAAAACATGCAGTTGTAAAACAGAATGAAGTTAAATCCCAGTTTAGGGAAATATTATTTTAGTATTTCTTAATTGAAATTTTTTTTATTATATTAAATTGTTCATGTATTATTATAATAATATCTTCTTGAGATGTATCTAAGAAAAGCAAGGGAATGTTATCTTTTTTAGTTAATGAAAATTATAATTAAAGTAGGTTAGTTGTTAATTGATATATCAGTCAACTTAATGCAATTATCTGTGATGTTGTATTGTTCTTGGTATCGATTTAAGTAAGAAGTGGTATATATCGCTTAGATTCTTGATGTCACTCTTAACATTGATGGAGAAATCGTCAAGGAAAATATAAGACATTTCAATGATCTCTCTTTTAGACTTATTGTTCTCATGGTGGAGAATAGTTTAGTCCATGAGATGACCAGTGGAATGGGCATGTTTGGCTAATGCATAGCGGTCAGGGTGAAGTCGAGAATCACTTTTGTGTAGTGTAATACGTGATTTCAATAATTGAGATGTTTGGCCGATGTAGGAATTACTGCAAGAGAGGCATGGGATGTTGTAGACAATGTTACTAAGCCTATCTATGGGAGTCTTATCTTTTATCTTAGAATAAAGATTATTAATTGTTAGGGCTGATCTACAAGCCACATTAAGTTTAATGTTGTTATTATTATTATTACTGTTGTTATCCAGATTTAGCCATACGGCTCACACTCCCTCTAAGGGGAAAATTCACTCATCCCAGATACCTAAGGTATCAAAAGGATTGAGCTCTGGTGGGACTCTTTCCGTGTTATCGAGCCCTAGGTGACTTGGTATGCTGGAGTATCTCCCAAAAATTTTCGTACACATCGGGATGTTGAGAGTAGTACAGCTTTTTGCATGGTCTTGTAGAGATGTTCATTCAGACCTAGCTTTTTTATATTTTCTAGGAGGTTCTTTGGAATGACTCCAGTAGTAGAGAGAATAATAGGTATTGTCTGGGTACTTTCCATTTTCCACTGTCTTCGTATTTGAATTTCCAAATCCCTGTACTTGGCGATTTTTTCGTTCTGTTTAACACGAAGATTATTGTTGTTGGGTATCGCCACATCAATTAATGTTGTTTGTCTCTTTAGTTTATTAACTAGTATGAGATCTGGTCTATTATGTGCCACTGTTTGGTCTGTGAGCACCGTGCGATCCCAGTATAGCTTGTAGTTGTCGTTCTCAAGTATACTCTCAGGAACATATTGATAATATGGAAGATGGTTTGTTTGAAGAAGTCCCAGTTTGATAGCTATCTCTTGATGAAGGATCTTTCCTACTGAGTCGTGCCGTTCCTTATATTCAGTTGCAGCAAATGCCTGACAGCCCCCGGTAAGATGTTGAATGGTTTCCTGAGCTTGGCATCCATATCGGCATTTGTCATTTTGGACCTGAGGGTCTTTGACGATATATTTCAGGTAATTTTTGGTTGGTATAACTTGATCCTGAATGGCCAGTAGTGAACCTTCTGTTTCGGGGAACATCCTTCCTGATGTCAGCCAATAGTTCGACGCTATACTGTCGACATGGTCTTGACTGACCTCATTGGGATGTCGCCCGTGCAGAGGCTTGCCCATCCAGGTGCGCATTTTTTCGTTCTTAGTAAGGTGGTTTATGCGCATTTCTGGTTCCCTCAGTTTGATCGGTGTTGTGTCATCTACTGCACAAATCGCGCGATGAAGAGTAGATGTCTCCGCCTGCACCTGAAAATAAGTTCTTAAATTAGTAATCTGTTTTTCTAATTGCTCGCTTATATCCATAAGTCCTCGACCTCCTAAATACCGCGGTAATGTCGTTCTTTCTACTGCACTTCGAGGATGGTGTTTTTGTGCCTTTGTGAGGTGTGTTCGTACTTTTCGCTGAAGATTTTCTATATCCGTTTTTGTCCACTTAACAATACCAAATGAGTAGCTAAGCGCGGAACATGCGTAGGTGTTTAGTGCCTTAAACAAATTTTTACTGTTAAGGTGTGAACGAAGCAGCTGTTTTACCCTTCGTATAAACTCAGTTGTTATCTCAGTTTTCATTTGCTTATGGTCAATCTTCCGCGCTTGCTTTATTCCGAGGTATTTATACATATCATTTTCACCCATGGCCTCGATGTTCTGGCCGTTTTGCATATCGAATCCGCCGGGCTGAACCTTTCCTTTGATTATATTTAAGACACGGCACTTGTCAAGACCGAAGTGCATACTAATATCATTTGAGAAATTTTCAACAGTTTTTAGCATCTGGTCTAGGTGGTTTCGAGTGGAAGCCATTAATTTCAAATCATCCATATACAACAAATGATTAAGCTTCGCCACAACAGTGTTGTTATTTTTGATACTAAAACCTGAGTCGGTGGAGTTCAGTAGCTGAGATAGTGGGTTCATCGCTAAACAGAACCAAAGAGGACTCAAGGAGTCCCCCTGGAAAAGGCCCCGGTTAATTGGGATATCTTCAGTTTCGATGTTTTTTTCACCAGGTATTTGAAGGTGAATTTTAGTCTTCCACTCCGTCATTATATGCTTTAAAAAGGTCACTATATTAACATCGACTTTATATATTTTCAATATATCTATCAGCCATTGATGCGGTACTGAATCAAAGGCCTTCTTGTAGTCGATGAAGGCGGTAAAAAGGTTCCTTTTTTTGCTGTACGCCTGGTTGGAAATGACTGAGTCGATTATAAGTTGTTCTTTGCAGCCCATGGAACCCTTAGCGCATCCTTTCTGTTGAGGCTCTATGATATTGTTTAGAGAACAGTGTTGGTAGATACGCTGGGTTACACAGGATGTGACCAATTTGTACAAAGTTGGAAGACAAGTAATTGGGCGGTACTTGGCTGGATCTTGGGTGTTATTTTGATCCTTTGGTATTAGATAAGTGGTTCCTTGAGTAAGAAATGATGGTATTTCCTGCGGATTAAAAATAACATGATTAATTAATACTGTTAAATGCTCGTGTATACTCCAAAACTTCTTTAGCCAGAAGTTTTGAACTCCGTCTGGCCCAGGAGATTTCCAGTTATGAAGCTCTTTGATAATGTTCGAGACTTCTTCAGTGGTGAAAGGTTCATAGGGAACATTAGTGTAGTGTTGACAGTTGTTCGTCGTTTCTTCAATCCATCCAGCATTGTTGTTATGAGTAGCTGGTGTCGAAAGTTGGTTTCCCCAAAACTCATGAATTTCTTCTTGGCTTGGGTAGGATTTATTTATATTTTCTACAGTGGAATTCAGTTTCCTATAGAAAGACTTCTCTGCATGCTCAAAAAGTATATTGTCACATTTCCGGTTGTTACTCACTTTGTATCTCCTTAGGCGACCTGAATAAACGGAGAGTTTTTGTTTTAGTGTGTCCAGGCAGTGTCGAGCTGTGTTGTTTTCTGGATCATGTTGTGAGTGTCTTCCAGTGTTCAGAATTATTTCTTCAGTTCTTTTAACTACTTTTTGAGTTCTTACTCCTCGAATGTATTCCGTAATTTGTCCAATGTCCCTACGCAGTAATTCAATCTTCATCAGCAGTCGTTGTTCCCAGGGTGCTATTCTGTTTTCAGTCCTTCCGATATTAGTTCCTCGTCGTGTTCTGATCTTAATGCCCATAACATTAGCAATTGCTGTTGCCGCACAGTAAATCAGCATATGCAAATATTCCAATGTATGGGCTTCCACGATATAATTGGGTAGGACTTCAGTATTCACAATTTGTAACAGCGCTCCTAGTTTCTTCGAAGAGTTTATTTTTGGTAGCGGTGGTCTGCTAAGTGGGTTTGTTCCACTAAACTCTTGTACGGCACGTGCCATCTCGTTTACCAGACTATCGTGCAACTCGTTATTCTCCTGTTGTATATTATCAGGTGGAGTTTCTTGGATGAGAAGCTCAGGAATCTGCTCATCAATGATTTCATTAGGGACTTGGTCTACAACTTGCTCTAGGTTATGGATCTCCCGTTCGACTTCGCTTTTGATCATGTCGCGTCTAGTCTCTGGGATAAGATTGTTTCTGATAATTACCCGGTATTGGTCTGCTACTCTTTGTTCAGATACTTGGATTTCTGGGTACTCCCTGCAAAATTCGGCATACAGTTGTTGTCGATAG